GATGGTCTCGATCTCCTGACCTCGTGATCCACCCGTCTCGGCCTCCCAAAGTGCTGGGATTACAGGCTTGAGCCACCGCGCCCGGCCTTATTTTAATTTTTTTTAATTTTTTTTTATTTATTTTTTAGACTGAGTCTCACTCTGTGTCTCCCAGGCTGGAATGCAGTATGCAGTGGCATGATCTCAGCTCACTACAACCTCTGCCTCCCAGGTTCAAGCAATTCTCATGCCTCAGCCTCCTGAGTAGCTGGGATTACAGGCACCCGCCACCACACCTGGCTAATTTTTGTGGTTTTAGTAGAGATGGGGTTTCACTGTGTTGTCCAGGCTAGTCTTGAACTCCTGACCTCAAATGATTCACCTGCCTCAGTCTCCCAAAGTGCTGGGATTATAGGTGTGAGCCATGGCACTCAGCCTCCTCAGTACAATCTTTATTATTAAATGGCCAAGTGCAACAGCCACAATCTGAGAGGAACATAGTTACCAGAGTGTTTTGGTCACCTACCAGGTAAACTACCTAAATGATCACAGATGATAGTAAAGGATGAGGGGAATCTAGAATGGATAGTAGAGGAGAGAGACAGTAAATATCCTTTATGACTTTAAGATATGCTAAAACACTAGGAACTGTAAATCTTTTTACTAATCTATTCTTATAAATTTCCTCAGGAAGAAAGGAAATTATAAATATTCCCCTGGAATAGTTATTTCCGTTTCTTACTATACCAAACAAACAGGAGAGTAGGTAGCTGATGTCTCTTAATTGAGCCTGTCTCTGGGAATTTTCCTTGGTCAAAAAGTTGCCTCACAGAAGGTTACATTCCTTCCACCTCATGCCCCTTACATCAAGGCAAAGCAATTCTTAAGGACTGTCCCATCCCTTGAGCTCCTGAGAGGATCAGCTGGAGCCTCTCTTGTAACTGCACCACAGCTCAACTACTCTGCCTAGCCCTATTTCTTTAACTTCTCTTGAGTGTTATTCCTGAAAGCACAATTCACTAAAATTCTTGCTTAAAAATCCCAGAGTAACCTTATCTCTGATACCCTCTATTGTTCACTCCACCTCAGCCAATCTGGCTCTCTTGCTGTTTCCTCTACCAGGAACACTCTTCCTTAGATATGCAGAGGGCTAACTCCTTCATCTCCTTCAGATCTTGGCCAAAATGTCACCAGACTTACACCATCTTATTTATATTGAAGTTAGCCTCCTCTCATGCCAGGACTTCTCATCTCTCTACCCTGATTTTCTTCTTTTTCTTCCTCTCCTTTCCCTTTTTAAAATCACAGTGCTTATCAACTTCCATTCCAGTTTATGTATTTATTTATTCTGCTTAATTCTTTTCTTTGTTTTTGTTTATTTTATTTATTTATTTATTTATTTATTTTTGATTCAGTCTCCCTTGGAACATTAGCTGTATGAGAACAGGGGTCTTTACCTTTTATTGCCCTTGTTATATCCTGAGCGTCTGAAACTATGTCTGGCCTAGACTAGTCAATTAACATTTTTGTTTATGTACAAGAGCTCCTACAGGGTAAGTCCTTTGAAGCTGCTGGGCCACCGTGTGTATCATTTTCAGGTTTACCATATATTTCAACTTTACTATATAATTCAAAATTGCTTTTTTAGATGAGTGTACCAATTTATAGTCCCAGCAACTATGTATGAGAATCTCAAAATTTTCACATTCTTGTCAGTGTTGGTATAAAATGATTTACAATTTGCCTTTATTTAATTGCTAATGATTAACTATATATGCTTATGTTTATTGGTCATTCAAGATTCCTCTCTGGGAATTGCCTGTGCATATTTTTTGCCTTTTTTTTTTTTTCTACATGATTGTTGACTTCTTCTCTCTTACTCATTTGGAGATGTTAATTATATATTCAGTGGACTGATCCTTTGTTGACGGTATGTGTTGCAAATATCTTCTCCCAACCTTTTAATTTAACTGTCTTTTCCATTAGTTTCTAGTATCTTTTGATATAGTTTTAATTTTTAATGAGGTCAAATTTATTTATTGTTTTCCTTATAGTTTGTATATTTGCACAGTTTAAAAGAAATCTTGCTTTACTTGAGCTCATAAAAAATGATTCTATAGAAGCAAACTTGTGAATAGAAAAAAGAGCAATGATTCTAAATTTTCTTTTAAAAGTCTGAAAGTTTGCTTACTGGAATTGATTTTTTGTGCAACATATAAAGTAGAAACCCAATTTTATTTTTTTTCCATTTAGATATCCAAATATTACAGTACTATTTGTCAAGTAGCTCCTTTCTTCCTCACCGATTTGTAATGCAATTTCCATCATATATCAAGCAGCCACACATACATGTTTGTTGCTCAGTCCTCAGTTCTGTTTCACTGGTCTATTTGTCTGTAGTTGTGCAAATACTATATTGTCTTAGCTGCTATAAATTTATAATAAATTATATAGGGCAAGTTTCTGCAGCTCCTTCATTTGTTTTAAAAATGGATTCATCACTCTTTAATTATTCCATATAAATTTAAAATCAACTAGTCAAGTTCCACCGAGCATAATTGGAATCTTGATTTGCTTTGTACTGAATTTGTGTATTATTTTAGGAAGGAATTATATCTTTATGATATTTAGTTCTCATATATATAGACATGGTATATATTTCACATACTTATCCTTAATGAATAAAGTTTCTAATGTATCTTTTGTGTATTCAGGTATCTTTTGTGTTTCTTTGCTTCTGTGATAGCTGTCTTTTAAAAATTATATTTTTATAATTTTGATGAAGAATGTGATTGTGAACATGAATTTTAAAAAGTCCACCCACCTTGCTAAACTCTCTTATTAATAATCGTAATTTGAGTGTTAGATTATCTTGGATTTTCTATGTAAACCACGCAGCATACTCCTTAAAATTCATGTATTTAGAATTCATATTTTAATTAGGCAATGCAATCAACTCTAAAATTAAAAGTACATTTAAAACACGTACCCTAACACTTTCCTTCTCACTCTTGTCCCCCTTTTCACTCAGTTTCTGACCGTTCACCTCTCATAGGTAACCACGATTATTAATTTTCCGATTTTTCCAGAGCTTCTTTGTGCCACACAGGCAAGCATAGTTTAGATTCTTTTTACTCTCTTCTATTCGCAAATATAGCAAATTATGGAAAGAGTTCTGCACCTTGCCTTTCTCCCTTAGTTATAGCTGGAAAAATTAAAAAAATCAAAAGCCTCTTTAATAGCAAAAGAGGAGGGGAAACGAGGTGTCGAGCTAGCAAACGACAGAGTCTATCAGGGAGGTGGCTAGAGAGGCCCGGAAGTGGCTTCTGTGCTCCGCCTTGCGGGTGGTTTGCTAGTTTCGAGCACTTTGTGAGTATGGGGTGAGTAGCGGACGCCAGTTGGGCGTCCGCCTTCTACTGTGGGGTTAAATCTCATCCCGCGGCTCTCCTCCTGTCGGTCCTGCAGTTCTTTTGTCCCCTGGTAGAGGTGCGTTTGCAGGGGTGTGTGTGTGTATGTGTGTGTGTGAATTTGTGGAGAGAGGCCCTTCCCTCCCCAATTCCTGCAGCCTCGGCTCCCAAGGAGGGAGACCCCTGCGAGAAGCCGTGGGGGAGGGAGGGGCGCTCTGCGTCTGAACGAAGTGGTGCTCGGCGTTCCCTCGTAGAGCCCAATATGAGTGTCCCTTGTTTAGAGCCGTTACCGAGTGTCTGGGTCGGTTCTTGAGGGTGTCTGGAGACGGGACGCATGGGTCACATAGACAAGCCTCGAAAATGGGAGCCGTTACATTTTTGCACTGCCTGGTAACAAGGTCAGTTTCAAGGTCTTTAAATTATTCTGTGGTACTGGCCAAGAGCCAGAACGTTGGAGTCAGATTACCTGATTCGAATCCTGCCTCTGCCACTTATTGGCTGTGTGACTTTTCACTAGTTCCTAACCTCTCTCTGCCTCCTTTTACTATTTTGCAAAATGGGGATAATATTCCTTAACTCACTAGGTTGTTGTGAGGATTGAATGCATTAATATGTGTAAGGTGCAGAGTAAGCATGATTTAAAGATTTGCTTTTATTAGTAGTACCATTATTATTTATAACTATGATGACATATTATCTTTAATTACTGGTTTTTGTACGGTTGCTTTCAATTTTAGTGTCATTCATCAATTCACTTTGTAATGGATTATTTCTATATTTTAGGAGGGAAAAATAAGATACTCTGAAAAAGAGCCTATCCCAAAGCAAAGACCAAAACTGGTTTGTGTTGTACGTTGTGATACTCAAACTCGCAAAGGCTTTAAGATTCGGGGGTACCTTTTCCTTGGCTGGAGAGTAGGAGGAACAATAGAAGTTTGTAATAGTGAAAAACGACGAGGACCCCTGGTTTTAGCAAAAATCTGATGTCCTGCTTAGTGCTGGAGATGCACCAGTTTTTGAGCTTCCAGGAACGCCCTAGCCTGAAACTGGCTTCATACTAACACCCTTCATTTCAACCCAACTTCGACAGGGTTAACTCTCTTTTCTAGACTTGTAACTCTTTTCTGTTAATGAGAAACTTTCCTTTCCTTATCGTCAGTATATTTACTGATTTGATAAATAATTTGTGTTTGCAACCAATTTCCCAATCTTGTGCCTTCCCAGTGTGATCAATTTGGCTCAGATCCAAGTAGGGTCCAGGTAGTGAAACCTAAATGGAGTTTGTGGAATAAATGATATAAATGTATCAGTGTTGTTTACCTGCCATAGACTTCCTCCCTTTCCCACCGTGGACACCCTCCTCATTCCACTTGGGCTCCAGATTCACTCTGGGTTGGGCTATGGCTCTCTCTTGCCTTCTTTGACCCTACCTTAATGCTTTTTGACTATATTATTCAGGAAGGAAGGAAGTTAGGACTTTGTTCAATTTTCTAAAATTTTGGAGAGAAATTTAAACACATTTAATTGTAGAGAGAATGTTACAGTGAACACCAATATAACCATGACTCGGCTTCAGCCATCATCTTCTGGTCATTTTCATTCTTCTTTTCCCTCCTTTCCCCTGTCTTTCCTTCCCTTCTCCTCCTCCTTCCCTTCTGTCTTCCTCCTTCCCTTTTACTTGTTCCCTCTTTCCCTCTCTCCTTTTTTTCCCTCTCCCTCCTTTGTCTTCCTTTCCCTCCCTCCCTCTCCCCCTCTTTCTTTATTTCTTTTTTTTTCCTCATTACATCCCTCCTCTCTTTCATTTTATAACAAATTGCAGATGGAAACATTTTAATTCACTCACAAGTACAAGTACTTCAGTGTCAATTTCTTATATATAAGGACTTTTATCTTGATATAATCATAGTATCATCACATGCAACAAAATTGACTAATTCCTTGATATCATTATCTTGATTTTCAAATAATTGTCTCAAATATTTTTACAGTTTTTTTTTTTACAGTCTTTTTACAGTTGTTTTCAGTGGGGTCCAAATATGGTTCACCATTTGCATTTATTTGATAAGTCTGTTCAGTCTCCTAATCTATTGACTGTTCCCATTCCCTCCCACTCCTTTTGGTAAAAATACCATTTATTTGTTGAGGAACTTGAACCTTCTGTTTTATAAAATGCCTCACATTCTGGATTTGGTCGATTGCTTCTTTTTAGTATCTTTAACTTACTAGATCTCAAACTCAGCTGCACATTAGAATCACCTAGAAAGTTTTAAGTTATTGATGCTGAGTCCCACCCCCAGAGAGTGATTTAATTGATTTTTTTTTTTTTCATTGCTGTCTCCACCTCCCAGGTTCAAGTGATTCTCATGCCACAGCCTCCCAAGTAGCTGGGATTACAGGTGTGTACCACCACGCCCAGCTAATTTTTGTATTTTCAGTAGAGACAGGGTTTCGTCATATTGGCCAGACTGTTCTTGAACTCCTGACTCCAGGCAATCTGCCTCAGCCTCCCAAAGTGCTGGGATTACAGGTGTGAGCCACTGCACCCAGCCTGATTGATCTTGATTGTACCCAAGGCATTAGGAGTTTTAAAAGTTCCCTAGTGATTCTAATATGTAACAAAGTTTGAAAGCCTTTAATATAATTTTTTCCTATATTTTGCCTGTACACTGGTATTTGGATCTAAAGACTAGATTAGATTTAGGGTCACTTATTTTGGTATTATTAGCTCATGTAGCAGTGCCCCAGATCTCTTGTGGCAGCTTATTAGGAGGAAGTGTTTTCTGGTACTTTTCATTTGTAACAATCAATGGGTTCTCTCAGTTTCCTAATTTCCTTCTATTCCCTACCATCCTTTGAACTATAGAGAGTTGGCCTGAGGAATAGAGGTTCAGGATACAGATTTGGAATTGTTTTTCCCTTTGTAACCTCTACCAGCCTTACTTTTTTTTTTTTGAGACGGTCTTGCTCTGTTGCCAGGCTGGAGTGCAATGGCACGATCTTGGCTCACTGCAACCTCTGCCTCCCAGGTTCAAGCAATTCTACTGCCTCAGCCTCCCAAGTAGCTGGGACTACAGGCGCCTGCCACCACGCATGCCCAGCTAATTTTTGTATTTTTAGTGGAGACAGGATTTCACCATGTTGGCCAGGATGGTCTTGATCTCTTGACTTTGTGATGCGCCCACCTTGGCCTCGCAAAGTGTTGGGATTACAGGCGTGAGCCACCGCGCCCGGCGCAGCCTTACATTTTCTAGCCTCTCCATTCCACTGAGTAAAGACAGACTTACTGACATCTGAGTCCAGTCAAATAATTTTGCAGTCACTAACTTCTAGTTTAAAATCTAGTCCCAGCTGGTTCACAGGAATCTCAGGTTTCCCTTCCCTCTTAGATCAGGCCCAGGTCTCATGGCTTCTGGGATAGGCTGTCTTTCAGAATATCTTACTTTTCCCTCCTAAAATATAGAAATCATCCATTACAAAGTAATGACTCTGAGGAAACCTGGTGGCTGGTGCTATTGTTTCTAGAGAATACCATACTGAGGAAGGAGTAGATTAGGAAGCAAGAAAATCAGTTTGATTTGGGGCATATTGAATTGGATTTGTTTGCAAGATTTCCATATAGGACTATCTGGGAGGCAGCTCAGGATAGGCATCAGGAGTCTACAGCCTAGAAATAGAAGTTAAAACCTTGCAAGTGATTAAACATAGTTCTGGGGAAGACTGTGGATAGAGAAAAGAAAAGGTCAAGAACAGAACCACCAGGCCTACTCTTATTTAAAAAAAGAAAGACCAGTGAATTATACTATTAGCCAATATGTATATGGTACTTACCACTGTCATGCCAAGTGTCAGGTTCCAGCCCATACTGAGGTCCGAGGGGAGTTGTTGGATAGGTGGCAGATAGTTGAAAGAACACTTGGGGCTGTAGACAGGTAAAATATGATTTTAGTCAGCAGCAGCTACTGCAGCTCTCACACTGTCTGCCTCTGTCTCGGGTGCCTCCTCCGACCACAGCCCTTCTCAGCAACCGGCTCTGTGGCTTCTGCCGCTCCCACACTTACAGCTGTACTCCTTGGCACACTTGTTAATTCCTGGCTCCCCTCTGTCGGTCTGCAAGACAGCCAGTTCTCTCTTCCAAGGTCAGCAGTTTTTCCCTCTCTCTCTGGGCATGAGTCCTATGTACAGTGTCAGCAGGGCAGTTATACCATTTACACACAATAGTGGCTGTGAGCCAAGTATGAGCTTACACAAACAGGTTATATAACAAGTGGAGTGGTGCGCCTGCGTTCGAGACTCGCTGAGTCACACTGGCCTGCATATCTGCCTCAGCCTGTTCTTGACCAAAGCACATCCATTTTTACCTTACACTCCACCCCCTTGGCCGAGGGAGACATAAGTTTTTAGGTACACAGGCCCAATATATAGGTTTGGCACGCAGGCCTGACATATACACTTTCGGCACCCAGGGCTGATACATACACACAGGCTTGACACGTAAGTCGGACACATAGGCCCTGGGCACACAGGCCCAGTGTATACATAGAGGCTTGACACATAAGCTGTAGGCACTCGGGCCACAGTAGTAATACAGGGAGCAATAATTTCAGGTTATAGTAGGCAACCACCCCATGGTGATGTTACCCCGATGTTGCTTTATATATTAAGCCAGGTTTTTTGCTTCCCTACCTTTAGGGGCATTGGGGCAGGCAACAACAGGTTACCGTTTGTCCCCATACCTAGTTAGAGGAAGTCATCCTTTCTCCCATAGGTCTGGCCACATGGCCTGGCCCTACATGGGTCAGTGACTAACCACTTCTGTAACTTCTAGGTAGTTAGCCACAAGGTTAAGCCTTGATAAACTGCCCAGCTATTGGTGCAGATTACCATAGGTGTCACCTTCTTGGTGATCATCATTTACATTGCCCTGAGTTCAGCTTATTAGCTACTTTGTCCACACCTGGTATCAAACCGTAGGGTGTCAGTACTAGGCTGGGCTTCAACAGCAGTCCAGGCAGCAGTAGCACCCTGGCTAGACCTATCTGTGTACCACGCCCTATTGGGAATGCAGGGATGCCCCTCCTTAAAAGATGAAGGCTCAGGGTCTAGGGGTGCCTCAGGTCCCATAGCCTTATCTTGCATTAGGATAGTAGGTACTAAGACTTCTTGTAATTGTGCTGCTAAGGGACTTGACTTAGCATACTTTGCTGTTCCGTGTAGGCTTAGGCACCCCACTTTGCAAAAGTGGATGTCTGTGCCATCCCAGTGTGCGGGTTGTTACCTATGAGCATACCTACCCTACTGTTGGGTAAGTCATGCACACAACGACTGTAGCCCGTCCTGCCAGGCTGTCGTGAGTCTAAAGGGCAGCATATGCAGTTACTAACTCCTCTGTCGAGGAATACCGGAGCTCAGCTCCCTTTCACAGTTGGGACGAAAAGTCTACTGGCATTCTAAAGAGCTCTGTGCAGTGCCATAAGCCCCAGTCAAAAATATCTGTGGTCACATGCACATCAAGTTTAAATGGGTGCCCCTGATCAGCTACCCATAGGGCTTGTGCCTGCTGAATAGCCTGTTTGGCTGCCAGGAAGGTGGTTTCAGCCGCATCATCCCAATTCCAGGCAAGAGGCTGCGTTGCTGCTTCTAAATCTGCAAGAGAATCAGAGGTTAATATAATAACATCATTAATAAGATCATGACATATGTTGGGGCTATGCATATATCCCTGCAGCAACACTGTGAAAGTCCATCATCACCCTCCCATGAAGGCAAAGTGTTCCTGGCTCTCTGGAGCAATGTCCATTAAGAGGAATGCATTGGCCAAGTCCACCACACAGTGGCACCATCCCAGTTCTGTTGTCAGGTGGTCTATCAAATCCATGATAGATGGCACAGCTGCCAAGCCGTGCAAAACATCCACCCCAGCCTGTCCTCAGGCATGGGAGAGACATACACAGTGCATAAGCGGGGAGCCAAGCGCCCGATGCCAAGGTCCGAAGGTACAGGTTTCACTTTCACTGACCAGCTTTCATAACTGTCAATAAATGCAGCTCTGCCCGGAAACTGATTCAGGTTTAGAGACCAGTAGATTGCCGAGTCCACATATGGCCTTTGGTTATCCGTTGTCCCCCTAAGTCCGGCACCTTGGCCAGTTCGCAATCAAACAGGAAAGGCTTTACATTTCTGCCTGACTGCAGCAGGTAATCTTTGAGCTGGAACGCTCCGGCGGGACCGAGTCACCCAGCAATGTCCTTTTCACGAATGACTTGCACAAGTCTGTATACGACTGCCATCTACTGACAGTTTCTGGTATTTCACTGGCATCAGTCCACACTGTAATTAAAGAAGCCAGCTTTTCCATCTCAGAGGCGGAGCAGGAAATGGATCAGCTCCTTTGTCCCAGAGAGAGAGAATTCAGGCAGGGAGGGGCTCCCCCAGATGCTACTGGCACTGCTTACATAACTCCCGCAACTCAGTGGGGGTACAAACACTATATGAAATGTTCTTCACAATGGTAGGGGGTCTCTAAGCCCACCCTTGGGGCCCAGTGGCTGTTCATGCTCTATTTTCTGGCAGACCACTGGGTGAGCCTGTAATGGAGGTTCTTCCTCCTCTCTGCGTTGCGTCCAGCAGAGACTGGGCATGCACTTCTTGCAGCACAGTCACAAATGCCCATCTGACTCTGTTGGCAAAGGCACACTCCTCAGTGCTGTGCACTTCCAGGTGCTTCAGCTCCTTCTCCACACTTGTGGAGGGCCTGTCCAGTGTCGCCCATGTTTCCACCAGAGCCCATCCTCGCACCACGGCTGCCACTGGGTGCCACAGCTCATGCTGTGGCTGCATAGCCGGCCCGGGAGCCTGGGAGCTGGAGACCCACTCACCTCATCCTGCCCACTATGCCAAATGTCAGGTTCAAGCCCCAGCTGAGGTCTGAGGGAGTAGGTGGATGGGGGGGCAGGGAGCTGGAAGAACACTCGAGAGACAGCAGGTAGATGGGACATGGCTTTACTCAGCAGCTCTTTCACAGTGTCAGTGCTGCATTTATACACCTCACAACAGTGTCTTAGAGCCAGGTGATGAGCCTCCCCAGGTTATGGCTACATAACTGTGATTGTATAATGCACGGAATTGTGTGCCTGCGCTCCAATCCCACTGAGTCATGCAGGATGTTTACCTCGGCCTATGCCTGCCTGGCTGCAGCACAGCCATGTTCCTTATGTCCACATACCAGGCACTGTTATACGGACGTTATACACTCACTTAATGCTTACAATGGCCCTATCTACTATCACTATCCCTATTACAGATAAGGAAAGGGAGGCACAGAGCTAGTCGGTAGTAAAACCAGGATGATGACCTCAGGAAACCTGGGTTCAGAACACTTAACCAGATTATGATGGGAGGTGAGAAGAACCAGGAAGGAGGAAAGCAGGAGAAAGGAAGGTTCTTGAAACAAAGGACAAGTGAGTTTCTGGAAGTGGGCAGTATCCTCAGCCCAGTTGCCTGATAAGAGGCCATGGAAAATGGGAATTGAGGGAAGTCTCTTTGGTTACTTCTGCAGGCGAAATCTTAGTGGTGTTGGCAATTTGCAGCCTACAGTGTGTGGAAGGCTTAGTAGGAAGTGAGGACTAGAATCAGGGACTGAGGGCTTTCTTTCAAGTTCAGTCTTGAAGGGGAAGAAAGAGAGTGGCAGACTGAGGAGGTGGCGAAGACCAGGGGCAGCCTGTGCTCTCTCCAGGGCAAGGGCTTGGTGATGTTTTCAGCTTCCTTGATGTTTCTGAAACTGAAGGGCCTCCAGCCCATAGATCAGAAGAACCTGCAGAAACCCTACTTTCAGCTGACTTTTAATGTGAATATTTTGCCAGTTTTTTGGGCAAGTGTCACATCAGATATAACTGAGGGTCTCACTAGCAGGCAGCCAAGGTTTGTTTATTCAGTCCTATTTCTTTTGGTCCAGGGCCTTCTATCCTTCTTCTTCCCCTCACTGCAGTACCTTGACCACAGATAAGACCTGGTACAGCCATCCTTCATTATCTATGGGGGATTATCATTTCAGGATCCCCACTGATACTAAAAGTTGTGGATGCTCGAGACTTACATAAAATGGCATATGGTATTTGCCTATAACCTACACACATCCTCCTGTATACTTTTTTTTTAAAGAGATGGAGTCTCTACACTGTTACCCAGGCTGGAGTACAGCAGCACAATCATAGCTTACTGCATCCTTGAACTCCTGGGCTCTCAGGTGATCCTCCTGCCTCTTCCTCCTGAGTAGCTGGGACTGCAGTAGTGTGGCACTAGGCTCAGCTTCTCTTGTACACTTTAAATCATCTCTAGATTACTTATAAACCAAATACAATATAAATGCTTTGTAAATCCTTGTTATATTGTATTTTTATTTGTATTTTTTAATTGTTGTTTTTGTTATTTTTTTCCCAGATATTTTCCAGCTGTGGTTAATTGAACCTCTTGATGCAGAACCTGCAGATATAGAATCAATTGTATTAGTTTTCTATTGCTGTATAACATTTACCTCAAATTTATCAGCTTAAAACAAAATCTGGGCTGGGTGCAGTGGCTCATGTCTTTAATCCCAGCACTTTGGGAGGCCGAGGCAGATCTTTTGAGGTCAGGAGTTCAAGATCAGCCTGGTGAACATAGTGAAACCTCATCTCTACTAAAAATACAAAAATTAGCTGGGCATGGTGGTACACACCTATAATCCCAGCTACTTGGGAGGCTGAAGCAGGAGAATCTTTTGAACATGGGAGGTGGAGGTTGCAGTGAGCTGAGATCATACCACTGCGCTCCAGCCTGGGCGACAGGGCGAGACTCTGTCTCAAAATAAACAAGCAAAAAAAAGAAAAAATCAGCTTGTTTGTTCCAGTTCTCTAGGTCAGAAGGCCAGGCAGGCTCAGCTGAGTTCAGTATTAGGGTCTTCCCAGGCCAAAGCCAAAGAGTTGGTAGGGCTGGGCTCTTATCTGGAAGCTCTGAGAGGAATCTACTTATGAGGTCATTGAGGTTGTCGGTAGAATTCAGCTCCTTGGGATCAGTCCAGTCAGTCTGGACTTGCTGTCTCATATTGAAAGTCCTGAGGATTAGGGCAGGAAATCGTTAGAGTCATCTTAGAATTTAGACAACCACAGACCTGCTTGTTAACGGGATAACTGAGCAAGTCACTGAGAGGAGCTTCCTAGAGAGACCAGGAAGTGCCCTGGGTCCTCACCAATTTCAGTTTTTTTCCTGATTAGTCCGGGGCTTGGGGATGTCCAGGATCACCCCAGGACATCCTTTGGAACCTTACTGTGGGATTCAGGCTTGGGGTGGTGTAGAGGATTAAGCTGCAGAACCATTGAACGTGGAGAAATTTCTGCAGCAGTTCCCCAGAGATGTCTCTGGGCCCCTGGGCAGGAGAGAAGGGACTACTTGCAAGTTTACTGGTTAATAATTATTTCCCACCTTTCAGGAATCTTCTGCAGAAATAGCGCTGGAAGCTAGAGTGAGGCCTGAGTACTGCCTTGGCCCAGGATGGCTAGAGAATTAAGTGAAAGCACAGCCCTGGATGCCCAGCCTACAGAAGACAAGATGGAGCTTCTGGTCATAAAGGTGGAGGAAGACGAGGCCGGTTTTCCCAGTAGCCCAGATCTGGGCTCTGAGGGCTCCCGCGAGCGCTTCCGAGGCTTCCGCTACCCGGAGGCTGCAGGTCCCCGCGAGGCGCTGAGCCGGCTCCGAGAGCTCTGCCGACAGTGGCTGCAGCCTGAGATGCACAGCAAGGAGCAGATCCTGGAGCTGCTAGTGCTGGAGCAGTTCCTGACCATCCTGCCTGGGAAACTGCAGAGCTGGGTGCGGGAGCAGCATCCAGAGAGCGGGGAGGAGGTGGTGGTGCTGTTGGAGTATTTGGAGAGGCAACTGGATGAGCCGGCGCCGCAGGTAGAAAGAACTTAGTATCTGAGCGCTGTGGTCTGTTTCCTCCTGAAATCTCAACATCGGAGTGAGGGGCATTCCTTTAAGATCCAGGAGTTCTCCATCTCTTTTTGTACCGTGAACCTCCTTGGCAGTAAGGTGAAGTCCCCGGACTCCTTCTCAGAATACTTTTTTTAAAATACATAAACCATTAAGGGTTACAAAAGAACACAATCATATCAACATACAGTTAGCAAAGTATTAAATTTGTATTAAAGTCATATATGTGTTTTTTTAAATTAGTACACTAAATAAGACCTAGGGACAGGGCTTATAACTGGCAATTACAAAGCAGTGATAAGTATCTATTTGCCTGGTTGTAATGTGATGTAAAAACATCTACAGGTTCTATTGGTGACAAAGTCCTGGGTACTGCTTATGCTACTTTGATTTGTTGCTTCCATTCATAATTGAAGGAAATACTAACTTTCTCTTAAAGACCAGTTAAAAATAAGATTAGTTTTTGTCCTGTTCAAGTTCATGGACTCCGTGGGAAGGAGTTCATGGACCACTGGTTATGAACCTATGGTAGAAAATGGGCCTACTTTTACCTCTGTGTTCTTCCCTGTTTTATGAGACTGTGTCCTCTTTGCATCATCCTGTGTCCCTGTGCACATACCCTCAGAGGACCTGTGTGGCCAGAGCCTTCTAAATGGTGAGCTGGATACCAAGGTTCTTGACTCGGGTCTATTGCACCCAAGCCCTGTAACAGTGGAAAGTCAGTGCAAGTCTCTTACCTTCGTTCTTTATAAAGGATGTGGGAAATTCTGAGCTGCACATGAGAAAGTAACTTGAAAACTGTAATTTTATAATACTGTAAATGTCTGGAAGTAAACCTGCATTTAATGAGGACATATCATATGCCAGGCCATGTTAGGTGATTTCACATACTGTGATGTTATTTGGGTCCCCCAAATGCTGTAAACTAGAGATTGTAATCCCCTTTTCAGATAATAAAAGGTATCAATATTCTCTGAGAATTTTGCACCGGTTTCCAATGGGTTTTCATAAAACACAAATGTATATATGAAGTATCATAGAGTAATGGTAAGAACATGTGCTTTGGCATCATTCTACCTGAGCTCCCATCCTAGCATTGCCATTTGTTAGCTGCTTAAACTGGCTATGCCTTCATTTCCCTATCAGTAAAATGAGTATAATAATACCTCCCTTATAAGATTGTTGTTTTCTGTGTTAAATGAGTTAACATTTATAATGATCTTGGAAATAGTGCCAGCCACCTAGGTAATTCTATGGAAGTGTTTGATGAATAAATGAAAATAAGAACAAATGATTTCTAGGTTTCAGGTGTTGACCAGGGGCAAGAACTGCTCTGTTGCAAGATGGCATTGTTGACACCAGCCCCAGAGTCACAAAGTAGCCAATTTCAGCTAATGAAGGCTCTGCTCAAGCATGAATCTCTGGGATGCCAGCCCTTACAAGACAGAGGTAAGGATTATTTTCTAGGCAGTATGAATTCTGCAGACTTCATCCAATTTCATTTAAGGATAGCCAACAAAATTCATTGATAGGTGGTGTATATGCCCATGACAGATCAACTCTCATTTAAGACTGGGACTAAAAGGAGTATTTCCAACATGATGGAAAACTTTTTCGACCAAGACTGGACATAGTATATAAGATATTAGTAAAACTTAGGTTTGGAAAGAATTGGTTCTTGTTTGGATTTTGTTTTGTTGTGTTGGTTTTTGTTTTCTTGAGACAGGTCTTGCTGTTTCACCAAGGCTGGAGTGTAGTGGCACGATCTCAGCTCACTGCAGCCTCCACCTCCTGGGCTCAAACGATCCTCTCACCTCAGCCTCCTGAGTAGCTGGGACTATAGGTGTGCACCACCATGCCTGGCTAATTTTTTTAAAAAAATTTTGTGGATATGAGGTCTCACCATGTTGCCCAGGCTGGTCTCAAACTCTTGGGCTCAAGTGATCCTCTTGCCTCGGCCCCCCAAGGGGCTGGGATTATAGGTGTAAGCTACCACGTTGTGTATACCAGCTACTTGTCTTTGTTCTTCTTTGTTTAACTTGTAATTATGGAGGCCTCCAGTGTGGTGGCCAGTTAGCTCTGGGGATGGAACGGTCAGTGAGACTGTTCTTGTTCCAGTGGAGCTTACATTTAAGTGGGGAAGATGGCAAATAAACACATTAATAATACAATTCATATGACAGTGGGAAGTCCTATGCAGAAAGTAAACAGAATTTGTAAAGCCAACCAGCCAATCTCATAAATTATAGGACTATTGCAAATTAAAGGGTATAAATCTTCTAAATCCTGGGTCTGTTATTAAAGTAATATGAAATTCACTGCATAGGAAATGGCTGTATGTTCTGAGATGTCCTTTCATGTGTCTTAAACACATGTACAAGTTCCCAAGACACACATCACTGGGATGTTCTAGCCAACATGAGATCTTTATTTTTCAACAGAGGTTCTAGCCTAAACCACCTGTTTTGTGCCCCTTTAAAAATTTGCTTCCTGAAGTTATATAAGGAATATTTGAGGAATATATGTGCTTCCTGAAGTTATATAAGGAATAATAAGGAAACCTGAAGTTCTTTACTTTCCTGTAAAGCCAGACCCTTACTCTGCTTTTCATAGCCCAGCTTCGTCTGACTCCTCTTAGCTTTTCAAATCCAAAGTGAAAGCACCTTAACAGCTACTAAGGACATACTCACCCAGAATCCGATTTTTCCTCCTATACCTGGCAAAATTCAAAGGATCTTCAAATGGAAAACTTTTTTATTTTTATGTTCTTTTTTATTTCACAACTGCTAACAAGGATCCTGCCTTTTTGCATTGTTTTCATGTATCTGCAGAGCACAACAGGTATGTTTAGCTATAGGATTGCAGCAGGTAGGGACAAAGAATTTTGGAAAGGAGCACACTCTGTATAAACTTGTTTGGCAGGAATTTATTTATTTAGAGAGACAGGGTCTTAGTTTGTTGCCCAGGCTAGAGTGCAGTGGCCCAATCACAGCTCATTGCAGCTTCAGACTCCTGGGCTCAATCACGTGAGACAGGAATCTATTAATCCAGTTATTTAACTTAGATTCCACAAGGCAGGGAGGCTGAAAGCCAGGGTACATCTCATACAGAGCTTCTTTCCTTCTTAGTTCTCCAGGTCCCTGTGCTTGCCCATGGAGGGTGCTGCAGAGAAGATACAGTGGTAACTTCTAGGCTTACTCCAGAATCCCAGGTGAGCTGGAGCCCCTATCCCTCCCCCAGTGCCTCTCACTACTGTTGAGCTTCCTGTGAAGACTCCTTACTCCCCATTCGCCTGTACTCCCATCCTAGATCCTCCATACAGATCTCAAATGGGATCTGCATTTTCTCATCTATCTTGAGGTTATCATTAACTTTATTTAGGTGCCCACTTAAGAGGCTTTTCCTGTTTATTACTAGCTCTTGACAGGGATGGGGATTGGGGGTGCTTCCCAGATCTTCCCTACTCCACCAGTTTGGTCAGCCCCTTCTTCAATGGGATTACCTACTGTTTTAGGGGTTGTTGAAAGTAGAAGATGTGGCCCTGACCGTCACCCCTGAATGGACACAGCAGGATTCATCTCAGGGGAATCTCTGTAGAGATGAAAAGCAGGAGAACCATGGCAGCCTGGTCTCCCTGGGTAAGACTAAAGGACACTAATTTCTGTTAAGGTTTCTTGGCATTCTTTGTGCATTAGAACCTGTTGAGTTGTTGGAAGCTGTTGAGCCCTATTGTGCTTGGATTCACAATCACCATTTCTGAAAACCTGTTACTGACTAGCTCCTTACTCCTTTTTTGTTGTTGTTTTTGAGAGATAGGGTCTTGCTCAGTCACTCGGGATAGAATGCAGTGGAACAATCATGGCTCACTGCAGCCTCAACTTTTTGGGCTAAAGTGATCCTCTTACCACAGCCTCCCAAACCGCTGGGACTAAAGGCATGCACCACCACGCTTGGCTAATTTTTTAATTTTTATTTTTTGTCGAGATGGAATTTTGCCATGTTGCCCAGGCTGGTCTCAAACTCCAGGGCTCAAGCAATCTTCCTGCCTTGGTCCCTCAAAATGCTGGAATTACAGGCATGAGCATGAGCTACTGCACCCAGCCTGCTTATCCCTTCAGACCTTGCTTTCTCCTCCTCCTGCCAGTATTCTAGTTGAGTTAAATGGGTTGAAGACAATACAGTCCCAAGTACAGGTTTGCCTCATAGGAGATGCCCAGTAAATGATGATGTACTCCTTCCTGATCCTATCCCAGACTGAAGAGGAAAGTTGGCGGGCCTCTTTAGAAAATGGGCCTTGGGACCATAGATTGTGAGAGTTAGAGGTGTTCTTAGACATTGACTATAGACCCTGACCTCAGAGATGAGGGTGCAGAGGCTGAGAAGACTGCCTGACTTGTCTGAGGCCACGTAGCTCATTGGTGGCATAAAATTCCCAGCACTGAATCCAGTTCTGTTTGGGGACCCTGCCTCTGCCTGGGATATAAGCCGAGACAACTGTCTTTATTGTTTCATTGATCAGTGCCCAATTTCTGAGTCTCCACTTTCACTGTTTCGTTTCTTTCTTTCTTTCTTTTTTTTTTTTTTTTTTGAGATTGAGTCTCACTCTGTCACCCAGGCTGGAGTGCAGTGGTGCAATCTTGGCTCACTGCATCCTGTACCTCTCATATTCAAGCTATTCTCCTGCTTCAGCCTCCTGACTAGCTGGGCTTATAGGCACCCACCACCATGCCTGGCTAATTTTTGTTTTTTTAATAGAGATGGGGTTTCACCATGTTGACCAGGCTGGTTTTGAACTCCTGACCTCAAGTGATCTGCCAGCCTCAGCCTCCCAATCACTGTTTCTCAAAGGTATTTCAGAAATCCTTCCACTTGCTCCATTTAATGTCACTTTCTGTTCAACTCTTTTAGTATCTAATCCTAGATGCATGGCCCTGCCTTACTATTCTTAGAACTTAGAACGACCACATATATCCCCAGCATAGTCCTGGATCCTCACCATCTTCCACCCACTCCCTCCACTCCCAGTGTGTACCTTTCCAATGGCCCCATTCCCATTCTTAGGTCTCCCTCCTCCCCAGCACTCCTGTTCTCCCCTTTTATTCCCATTCTTATTCTAGCACTTAAATCCTTATCCCAGGCATTTATAGACCTCTGTAATTCTTGCCTCCCTGGTACTCATCACAGAGCTTTCCTTCCATGGCAGGGCATAACCCACAATTGCCGGTTATTTGTTATTTCAGGTGGTGAAAAACAGACTAAGGGCAGGGACTTGCCTCCAGCTGAGAAGCTTCAAGAAAAGGAGCATGGGAAGATATTGTGCCACCTGAGGGAAGACATTGTCCAGATTCCTACATGTGCAGAAGGTGGTGAACAGGAGGGCAGGTTACAAAGAAAGCAGAAAAATGCCACGGGAGGGAGGCGGCACATCTGCCATGAATGTGGAAAGAGTTTTGCTCAAAGCTCAGGCCTGAGTAAACACAGGAGAATCCACACTGGTGAGAAACCCTACGAATGTGAGGAGTGTGGCAAGGCCTTCATTGGGAGCTCTGCCCTCGTCATTCATCAGAGAGTCCACACTGGTGAGAAGCCATATGAGTGTGAAGAATGTGGTAAGGCCTTCAGTCACAGCTCAGACCTTATCAAGCACCAGAGAACCCACACTGGGGAGAAGCCCTATGAGTGTGATGACTGTGGGAAGACCTTCAGCCAGAGCTGCAGCCTCCTTGAACATCACAGAATCCACACTGGGGAGAAGCCGTATCAGTGCAGTATGTGTGGCAAAGCCTTTAGGCGAAGTTCACATCTCCTGAGACATCAGAGGATCCATACTGGGGATAAAAATGTTCAGGAACCTGAGCAGGGAGAGGCCTGGAAAAGTAGGACGGAAAGCCAGTTGGAAAATGTTGAAACTCCCATGTCTTATAAATGTAATGAGTGTGAAAGAAGTTTCACTCAGAATACAGGCCTCATTGAACATCAAAAAATCCACACTGGTGAGAAACCCTATCAGTGTAATGCATGTGGAAAAGCCTTCACCCGAATTTCATACCTTGTTCAACATCAGAGAAGCCATGTAGGGAGAAACATCCTATCACAGTGACCCATGCTATACATGCCAGAGTTGGTGCTCATTTGTCACTGATCTGAAGCCACTCCCCCTGGAGTCTCGACTATAGGAATTGTGGGCTGGGCTTTATTTACCACTACACATTATCAGGTGTTAGAAAATATAGACTGGGTTAGACAAATTATCTTCCAAGTTCTAGAAGGTGTTTGGAATCAAAACATATTTGATAGGAGGCTATGGGAGAGTTGTCTAGAATAGGTAAGACCTGAAATGGTTTGTTCTCTCCCATTGGAATTAAATGGATGTTCAGACTGGCTACTTGCCCTAAACCAGCACTTTGTGGTGTCTGTTGGGTGGATGGTTGTGATTTGGGGGCTGCTTCTCTGACCATTCCTTTGGACTGTAATGAATTCTCCACAGTTGGTCAGATTCACAAAGTCTTATATCCCCCTCTGTGCCTTTTCCACAGGTGCTAATAAGTGTTTATTGAATGTACCAGTGAGATTACCTTCATAGATCTGAAAATCTGATGTTATCGAGGTTTCTGAAGAACTTCTCGCCAAGGCCATTTGTGCTTGTGTCCAATTCTCTGACCTAGATTGTGACTCAATCTAGTGCATTTCTTACCAAGTACATAGGCAGAGCAGAGGTGATGGCAGGGTTACTGTGATTGAAAGAATCCATTTTTTTGTTTGTTTGTTTTTGAGACAGAGTCTTGCACTGTCTCCCAGGCTGGAGTGCAGTGGCACGATCTCAGTTCACTACAACCTCCGCCTCCTGGGTTCAAGTGATTCTCCTGCCTCAGCCTCTTGAGTAGCCAGGACTACAGGCGTGTGCCACCACACCTGGCTAATTTTTTATATTTTTGGTAGAGATGGGGTTTCACCATGTTAGCCAGGATAGTCTCGATCTCCTGACCTCGTGATCCTCCTGCCTCAGCCTCCCAAAGTGTTGGCATTATAGGCGTGAGCCACCATGCCCGGCCAAGAATCCATATTTCTTTACCAGACTAGGAATTCTATTCTAGTGCAAATGCCTTAAACAGTTTATCACTAAATCATTATGAATGTGTGCCATCCATGGAATTGCATTTTTTTTTTTTTTTAATATGAGGTCTCACTGTGTTGCCCAGGCTGGTCTCGACATCCTGGGCAATCCTCCTGCCTCACCCTCTCAAAGCTCTGGAATTACAGGTGTGAGCCACCATGCCCAGCCCAAATTTCATTCTTTAATGTTTTCCTGTTGCTACTCTTTAAGAAAAAACTTACCTATTCAGACAGTGTGAAAATCAGTCATCAAGTCAGAATAAAGTGATAAATATTCTAATGCTCCATATCTTAGTTCTCTCCATTTAGTTCTCTTGGGCCTAACCAATGCCTGCTAAAACAATAGACACTATCCTGCCCCACCCTACTACCCAGCATACACTGTATAGTAAACTGCAGCAAAACTTATTCCTGCTAAGTTCATACTTTCTCCTGATGAATGGATTCACACCAAATATTTAAAACGAGTATCACTTATGGTTTCAGAACCCCATTATTAGTGTCTGACGTCTTGGTCTTCTTATACATTGATTCCCAAATTGCCTGTGTGGTAACAGCATCTCAGTTTTTCATGATGACTATTTTAACCATAAATTTAACTCCTCAGGCTATCTACTTTTTTGTTAAACACACTGTGTAGATCATCTTTTTTTTTTCTTCTCATCATGATAGTCAAAATTTTAGTCTTGTGAATTCAAGTGAGAAAATGTTTAGTCAGCATTATACAAGTAGTATTTATTATGTATACATTCAGTGGAGTTGTTTCTACAAAAGTATTTTGGAATGACTATTCTGCTGCAAACTTTTGTGTAAGTGCTTCACCTTATTCCTACAATAAGGAGAAGTGCACTAACAAAATGAACAATGCAGCAAGGGCTTCAGTTGCAGCTCAGGTCTTATCAAACACGAGAGAACCCATAATGGGAGAAGCCTTATGAGTGTGACAACTGTGGAAAGACAGTTCCTTTTTTGTTAGTATCACTTCTCCTTATTGTAGAAATATGCTTTCATTGTTGGATCTACTCACATTTCTCACTCGATTTCTGGCACCAGCAATCTCTTCCATATTTACAATATCAGTCAAAAACTCGGGAATTCAAACATAACAAGATTTTTCTGGTTACCTTTAATGGTTAATGACTTGGGCATTGTGATATATTATCTCCTGCTGTATTTTGTTTAGTAGAAATTGAATCATCATCCAAAATCCTTTATAGAAATATCCAAGTCCCTGTTTTTATGCTGGTTTCCAAGGCTTGGTCCTTCAAGGTTTTCAGGGATCTAGGGGACACAAGTCTGACAAATCCTAGTGTAAATTATTTGTATTATAGTAATAAACCATATGGTTACTTCGTTTGAGTGGATTCTTAAATTGAGAAAAATGCATTGCATGATTTCTAAACTTCCTAAACATACATTAGGATTCTCCAGAGAAATAGAACCGATGGGATCTGTGTGTACATATGTATGTATATGTATGTATGTGTATGCATATATATTTGTATTTATAATATTGGTTTATATATATATTATACACACTATATATGTGTTTGTATATATATTTTATTTATTGGCAAGAATTGGTTCATATGATTATGGAGGCTGAGAAGTCCTAGGTTCTCCTATCTGCAAACTAGAGAACTAGCGGAGCCAGTGGCGTGAGCGCCAGTCCAAAGACCAGCAGGTTCAAGACCCAGGAAGAGCCAGTGTTCTAGTTTGTGTCTGAAGGCCAGAAAAGACTGATGTCCCAATTCAAGATGGGCAGGAGGAATACCCGTTGAGGGAGCATCATCTTTTTTGTTTTCTTCCTGTCTTCAACTAATCAGATGGGGGCCACCCACATTAGTGGGGGCAGTCTGCCTTACCTAGTCCACTGATGCAATGATTCATCACATTCAAATTCAAACACTCAGAATAATGTTTGACCAAATATCTGGGCACTTTGTGGTTTGGTCAAGTTGACATATAAAACTGGCCATCACAATGCTATAGTTTCAACATTAAAACTACAGTATAGTATTACAGTTTCAGTAAAGCATTAAAACATTTAATCCGTGCTTCCCCCTTTTGTCAATTCTTCCAATTGGCAGTAGGAGCCTGGGAAATAATGTTTGTAGCCTCCCTACCCCACTTACGGGTCAGGATAGGAAACGGCTGGTATGAGGCAGGCTGAGGGACAAGATAAACAACTAGATCACCATTGTATCCTCAGCATCTAGCAGAGTTCCTGATAAATGAATGATTCTGAAAATTGGCTGGTTCTACTTGTTCTTTTGTATTGTTAACATAACATAAAATCTCCTGACACTGAGTGCCAGAGACCAAAGTATTCACATTCATATTTCCAGATATAAAAGTCTTCCCTTATTTCTAAAGAAATTATGTGTTTATAACCATTCATTCAGTAAACCTGACTGTGTTAGGTCAGGTGCTAAGGAATCAAAGATGAACAAGACATTATCTCTGCCCCCAGAGAACATAAGACCTAAATCATCTTCTGTCTTACAAGCTATTTTGTCCATTTCTGTTCTCACTTTTGTGCCGGCTTAATAGTTCTTCCTTCAGGGGAATGACTGCACCAATGGCTGCCCTGGCAACTTGCATCTCTTCATATGAGCCATATATACCAGGATTTAACACCAGCTAATCCAAGCCTTATAATTCACCTAGACCATGAGTGCATGGTAGGTTGTGTGAGGAGCTGATACAATGCCATTTCTCACACACTTCCCTACCTACCATGGAGGCTGTCCTGAGACAGTTTGCTCTGATGAGGAATGAGGCTTTCTACCTCTCCCTATTTAAGGTATAACTGCAAGCTATAAACTGCTTATCTGCAGAACAACATCAGGTTCTCAGCAACAAAATGTTTCACCATATGTGTTGCAGTCACATGACCTCTTCTGATGCCATCTTGTGGGGAAAAGACATACAGAACTGAACTGTTTTAATCCAGAAAGGGCTTATTTCTTTTCTGATCAAATACAGTCATGCACTGCATAATGACACTTCGCTCAATGATAATTTGGTCAATAACAGACCACATCTACAAAAGTGGTCCCATAAGATAATAATGACAGGCTAGGTGTGGTGGCTCATGTTTGTAATCCCAGCACTTTGGGAGGCCAAGGTGGGAGGATTTCTGAAGGCCATGAGTTTGAGACTAGCCTGGGAAACAGCGAGACTCCATCTCTAACAAATATAAAAGTTAGCTGGGTGTGGTGGCATGCACCTGTAGTCCTAGCTACTTGGGTGGCTGAGGTGGGAGAATTACTTGAGCCCAGGAATTCAAGGTTACAGTGAGCTATGATTGTGCCACTGCACTCCAGCCTAGGTGGCAAAGCAAAACATTGTCACACAAAAAAAGATTATAATAATATTTTTACTGTACCTTTTCTCTGTTTAGATACGCAAATACCACTGGGTTACAATTCAGTATGGTAACATGCTCTACAGGTTTGTAACCTAGGAGTAACAGCCTAAGTTTGTGTAAGTACACTCTGTGATGTTCACACAATGACAGAATTGTCTAATGATGCATTTCTCAAAACATAACCACTTTCATTAAGTGACACATGACTATATGCTAGCCTTTCCTTGACAAATTGGTGCCAAACACGGGGCTGGTAACATTACAATGCCCTTTCAGAAGAAAGAGAGATGTGCTGCCACAGGACTGGATAGGACACATGATAAGATTTCCCAGGATCTGGTAGCACATGTTCTTGCCTAAGTGGTGGGCAAGAAGGAAGGAGTAAGAGTCTTCCCATTGTATTAATAGCTATACTGCGTTGGCTAGATTATAGGATGTGAATAGACTCACCAGGACCCAGTATCATATGCCACCTGCTGATGAATGTTTAGAGGTTAAGTTACTTTAGGTAGGATTGAACCCAGTTGCCCAATGCCTTAGTTGTTATTAAAAGTTTGTTGCAAGCCAAGCATGGTAGCTCATGCCTGTAATCCCAACACTTTGGAAGGCCCACAGTGTATGGCTTGAGCCAAGGCGTTCAAGACCAGCCTGGGCAACACAACAAGACCTTGTCTCTACAAAAAATTTCAAGAATTAAAAAAAATAGCTGTGCATGGTGGCACATGCCCATGGTCTCAGCTACTCAGGAGGCTGAGGTGGGAGGATCCCTTGAGCCCAGGAAGTCTAGGCTGCAGTGAGCTGAGCTGTGATGGTGACACTGCACTCCAGCCTAGGCGATAGAGCAAGACCCTGTCTCAAAAAAAAAAAAAGTTTGTCATGACTGAGTGGATGATTTAAAAATGAAAGTGCAAATCTGTGCTTACCAGTATGGAACAGGTCTTCTTGTGCTCCCTTGATTTCTCTCTGGCCTATATCCAAACCTCAGTTTTTTAAGGAAAGAAGATTCTCTGGTGATCCAGCTAACTCTGCATGATGGACTCCTCCACATTACTTGGCACTCTGTGAGCTCCCGGCCA